AATTTTAAATTTACTGTGAGAAACTTTAAAAACATAAAACTCGGATGTGTACCTATATTAAATATTAACTACCTATGTAATTACTATAATAAAATAACTAAAAAACTAAAAATGTTCGTTTGACGATCAATTATCTTAGCGACCAATTATATTCACGATAAATTCACCGGCGATCAATTGTTCGCGACCAATTCACCGGATACCAGAAACGACGAATGTTGAGACCGCATTGGTTTGTTAGATCTTTTTAGTTGTGCAAAGGCGTTTCCCTGCGAACGCTCCGATTTGTTTTTTGATGATGAAGAAGTCCCGCCCTTAGATGCACACGGATTTTGCAGCAATTGAAGAACTGAAATGCGCTTCTTGATAAATAACACTAGCTCGGTTACCGTGGGAAATGTACTAACGAAACGTTCTTCGAATTTTGCGCGACAGATTGCGGGTAGACACCGAGAGGCTAGTGTAAATAAAATAAAGTCACCTAGGTCCGGAACGTCCGTAGACTTGAGTACCGATATATTTTCGTCAAACAATGAAACGAACTTAAGTAAGTCGGTCAGTGATTCCTGAGATGACATTTGTACCGTTATCAACTTTTACACCAATGAGCTAGCTACTAAACGAGGCCGATCATAAAGAGCTTGTAATGTTGACCAACTCAATTTGTAATTATCTCCGGAAGTAGGAATACCGCGCACCACGTCAAGAGCTTCCCCTTTAAGGCAACCTAGCAAGTAATACATTTTGTCTATGTCCGACAAGTTAGGCCGCTGGTCTACCATGCCTAAGAACCGGTCACGAATAATATCAAATTGTAAATATCACCGCTAAAACTCGGCAATGGGATTTTGGGTAAGCAAGTGCCATCCATTGAGCTCACAGACAATGGGGGGGGGGGCACCGGGAGAACTATTCGATAGATGTTCAGCACCGCCCGGACCGATCCGAACTGAACCGAACCGATCACGGAGTTAGACCGTACATTGCCATTGACCACATTTGCTGGTTGATTGTCCTGTGTTTCGCCGAAAATCGATTGTGAAGGCGATGTATSGGGTTGAGTACGCGCGGATGCAAACGTTTACTCCCGGTAAGAATTGGCAGTCACCTTAGAAAACGCAATTAATTGACGCATTTCCGTACCCACCTCACACGAGTAGTCGGACGCCGAGCCTAATTCTATTAAGCTATCTAATATGGCATCATCCTCCATCCTGAAGGAATCCCAAATGCCATCAAGTTCTTCGACCAAAATTAGCAGCTGCGGCACAATGTTCGGTTCGTCC